CCAGACTTATTTGTGAAGGCTAGCTTGTTTTCATTTTTGGGTCTCCAGGGTAATATTTGATATTAATCTGAGAAAAATCGACTCTGGAGCGTTTGCCGGACTCGATCATTTGGACACAATGTAAGTAGATTGTGTAAGACGTCATTTTATTGAAGATGTGACATGATTTGGCGAGCTGGTTAATTCGGTAAACTGCCATGATTTTCTTTTATTTTGCAAAACGGAGGAAAAAATTACACTAGACCTTTAATTTCGGCGTTTGATGTAAGGATCAGGGGTGTGTACATAAGACAGAAATAGGCTTAATATTAGAGAGAGTAACGACAGCTGGAGATTTTGAGAAACAGAATGAACATTATGAGTAAACCTGCCAGTCTTTTTCCAGCAACGGTGACATTATGTCGCAACTCTGACATTGGACAGAGCCATTTATAGAGAGAGTTGCGACATGAGCGTGTCAATTGTGGGAACCAAAATGGCGCACATGGAGCACTCAGTAGCTGCATGTTGTACTACACAATGAACAGCCATTTTGGTTCCAAAGTCTGAAGTTGGCGCTATTCTCTCTTTGTACAGCTCTGACATTAGTTGAACAACCGCACCCATATAGGCTAGTGTCCATTTCTCAATTCCCCACTTTTTGAATTTCCACTGCAAGGCAATTTTTATTTAAAATTCAATTCATCCTTCATGTTCCAGTTCCCTGCCAGAGATTAACCTAAATGGACAACAACTTTTAATTATCTCTTCTTATCTCAGGGTACTTTTCGAAAATGATGCTAGTCCTAAACTGCCTGTAATTGAAGACGGGGCTTTTGATGACATCGCTGACAATTTGACATTTCTGTGAGTGATCATTTCACCATTTTTATCAAGCGGTATATTGTGTACAATACTTCTAATTACAAACGTTTAGCTCAATATTGCCCGACCCATTCCCTCATTTTGTGGCTGTTGAGACACTTTGATTTAGTATTTGGTCCTCAAACCCATAGATGCTTCCTCTTATAAACACAACTGGAATCTTTTTTTATCACTTAAAATGAGGGCGCTCCCGCAAAAAATGTTTGCACCTGCCCCCAAATAATTTGTTGCTGGATCTGTACTAACACGAGTGGTTTGTTCTTTTCTGCCTCAGGTACGTGAATGACTATCGGTTTTGCTGTTTCTTCGGTGCAACTATTCAAGAAAATTGCCGTGAGTGGTTTGATATTCCCGAGTTGTTTAGCTGCAGCCAGCTCGTACCTAACTACGTCTTGAAAGTCTTCATGTGGATCTTAGGTATCAGTGCAGTAGTTGGCAATATCCTTGTCATGGTTTGGAGGTGTCGTGAAAAGGTAGCAAGCCGTGCTAGTTTAATGATAAATTCTTTTCTAGTGTTCAATTTGGCATCTGCCGATGCACTGATGGGGCTGTACATGTTGATTATAGCGGGAGCTGATGCATTTTACGGTTCTCGTTATTTTGAGGTGTCGGGGGAGTGGCGGGCCAGTGCTGCTTGCAAAGTGGCTGGTTTCATTTCCATGATAGCCAATGAGACATCAGTGTTCTTCCTTGTCTTCATCAGCATCGCTCGATTCATGTTTGTCGTTTTCCCGTTTGTCAGTAATCGCCATCTCAGCTTTAAGGTTGTTAAGGTTGCTGGTTGCATCATTTGGCTAGTAACGGTCATAATTGCCGTGGTATCCACTGTATTGTCTTTGGATGAGGAGTCTAGCGCCTACGGTCTCTCTGATGTCTGCATCGGTTTGCCTCTGACGACTAGAGTGACTGGTTTTGAGATAAAACAACAACGTATTGACGTTGGTGGAATTGGTGAGGTGACATACAGCAGACCAGTTCCTACCAGCACTTCGGCTACCTGGGTGTTTTCCATCGTCTTATTTCTAGGTGTCAACCTCTTCTCTTTCTGCGTCATCCTTGCCTGTTACATCTCCATCTTCGTCAAGGTAAAAGTGGCATCCAGTCGAGTGCGCAGCCGCAGTGCACGGGATGAGAGCGAGGTTCGTATGGCAGTCAAGATGGCGGCGATTGTCTTGACTGATTTCTTGTGTTGGATCCCTGTCATTATCATGGGTATTCTCTTCCAAGCCGGTGTTGTGAAGAATAACCCTGAAATCTTTGTCTGGAGCGTTGTTTTCATTCTTCCAATCAATTCCTCCATCAATCCATATCTCTATACATTCCTGGATATTTGTATCAAGCAAAATCGAGAGCAGAAAGTATCAAAGATCGCCAAGAAGGAAGAAATAGAAGCAAAGCTTTGCCCTCGAATAAAACAACCACAACCACAAATGAATGACTAAATATATGGAAAATTTATATCTAGAAAAGAGAGCGCCAGATATGAAATTAGTTTTTGTTTGAAATAGGACAGCATTTATGACACCATCTCATATAAAATGTATTTGTGGTTTTTTTTTAGCTTCTATCCCATAAAATTTCCCTCAAACTTTTTGATTGTATGATTAATTGCTTTTATGGTGGTAACAGTTCCAACACAACAAAAAGATGCTTTTCGAGTTAAAATGTACCAAGTAATAACTGTTTTATTTCAAACCTAATCAGTCGCGCATGGGAAATCGTTATGTCAGAACCGCACCAAACGCTTGGTTAAAGTAAACCTTTGAAGTTTTCGTGAGCTACCTTCAAAACAGGAAGACATATGAATAGAATATTATTTCACAGCGCATTTTTCAAATCTACGCTTGCATATAAATATCGCTCTTACTACAAGATTATGGAAAGAATTTACCCTCTTGATTTTAACCTTTAAAATATATCTGTTACACAGGAAATGATCCGTATAAGCAAGATGTAAATGTTAGATATTCCACTTAGAGGAATATGAAATAGCGTTTGTACACATTTTATTAGCACATTATCATATCGGAACAAAACCTTACGAAACGTAGGTCTGCTGTCAATTTATTTTTTTTCGTATTGAAGTCAGTCTTGGAAAATGTAATTAAGCATGAAAAGGTATGCAGGGCTGGCTGTAATAACATCTCAGAAGAGATGTATTATGGGGTGCAGTATCTGCAAATTAGTTAAAGTTAAGTTCCATTATACTAAACCATGGAACGTACTTCAATTTTTATTCAGTTCTGAAAAAAATGTAAGCTACACGTTACGATGTACAATTTTATACATTTTGTTAACGGTTTTTACGAAAAAAGAAAATGGAAAAGATTATGTAATAGCTTTAATCTGTGTTACCGATAGAAACGATTTATGCCAAATTTTCAAAAATCAGTTTGATTTAGAGAAGCATTCTAATCCATAAATAATCGAGAGCAGAAATCATCACGCAGGACAAAGGTGGAAAACAAATCAAATTGAAACAATCTCCTCTAAGCAAACAATCTGTACAAGAGAATCAGGAAATGCGTTTAATTCATCCCAGCATGCATCTCAGCCAGTTTGAAGACTTCAGTAATAAATAACGACTTATAATGCGCACATATCTGAGATTCGGATCAATGTCTCTTATCTTTTATCCCTGCCCATAAATAGGCCCATACTTAATTCTGAAAAAAAAAGCATTTCATCTCCCTGGGGAGCATGAAGCTGAGTGCTACCTTTTCCGGCGAAGATAAAAACCCAAACCAAACCCAAACCCATCTCTGTCCTCACAGGTACCCATTTATACTTCCTGGTGGAGAAGAGGCAAGTCGCATTTGTCCAAGGTCCCAATCGACATATAACAAACTGATGGATTCAAAACCCCGACCCTGTGTTTGTGAGTCACACACCCTAGCCACTAGGCTTCTTCCTGATTGTCTCCAATGAATGGAGCTTTTATGGCAGAAGCCGGAGACGGTTCATGGCATTGTTTTAAACAAAAGTAGAAAACTCAGGTCATTGTCCAAAAGTATGATCTTGAATACTGTAAATATCATTAACATTGAAATGCTTTGAACACGTTTTGTGGAATGTGATTAGAAACTGAATGTAGTTTGTTAGGGGGCTGGAATAAATACGAATGAATAATCAATACGTTGAGCCGTCAGCTTTGTATACCAAGGACTTGAGGGAAACATTTGTCAATATTTTAGAATGGCAAATATTTGGTCAAGGTGCTGTACGCAGTTATTTGCTCTCTTAAGAACTTAGCATTTATCCAAAGTAGTTTTTCATATTAGACTTTGTCCGAAAATATCCGAGATAGTGTACCTGGAGAAGGGGGTAGTGTCAAGGGGGAAACTGCCCCCAAGGTAGTCTTCCCCTCCAAAGAGCCTGGCTTGGTCCACTATTAACCGGTACGCCGAAACCCCTCTCTATATTTATACGAATAGTTTAGCACATACATCGCGATAAATATGTGTTGATGTAGGTGTATATCAAAAACATTTGACACAATATGAGAAAATTGATAGTCACATCAAAAGAAATACTTGTATTGTGAGACAAATGTCGCTAGTTAGATACAATATCTCATTTAATGTTTTTGGCTGTCCCTAGTTAAATCGTATTAGATCGAGGCTAACTAATTGCTAATTGTACTCGTTTTAAATGTTTTAGTGGTTCCATCCTTAATTCAGTGTTTTTACTTAGTACTGAAATGAAGATTATAATTGATGGAAGGAAACTTTAATAAATATTAAACGCTTTTTATAGCGTTTACGCAAAAAGACACTTATTTATTTGTAGCTGAAGTCTGATGGTTTGGTCCTTGTGCATCGTTAATATGGTTTGTTTAATTTTAGGTTCTTGACAAATGTTTTGCTCTAACAACACTTGTCATGTACACAAATAACTATATTGTAAATATCTGTGTGCGTATATATGCAAATGATGTTTCAACTTTGCATAGCTTAGGCACAAAGATACCAACGAATTCATCGCCTTTTAAGTGGAACATCCTTGTTCTGATCGACGTTTTGGGGATCCTTTTGGTTTAGAGGCGATGTAGTCGAAATTTATACACCCAGCAAGCGCCATCATGGAGACCCGCGATACGACAACAGTGTGACAAGCTTTATATCAACTGAAACTCCCACTGTCCAAAATAAAAAAAAATCATCTTGCATTTTGGATGTTGTGGCATGAATAGTGCGAGGCGGAAATGCCATGGAAATATCTTAGCGTAGAAGTTAAAATAACCAATAACCAATGCTATTCCTGACCTTTTCCAGTCTGTCAGGTGGGACGGGTGATTTGTCACGTGATGACAAATTAAAAGGAACGATATTTGTCACCCACTCATAAGCAGTCCACAAGCACGTATCGGATAATGTGGTCGGAGTGTGATCAGCAGTCCACTAGCACGTATCAGATGATGTGGTCGGAGTGTGATCAGCAGTCCACAATCACGTATCAGATGATGTGGTCTGAGTGTGATCAGCAGTCCACAATCACGTATCAGATGATGTGGTCGGAGTGTGATCAGCAGTCCACCAGCACGTATCAGAT